CTTGAACAACCACAGACACAGCAGTAAAAGCTTTCCTTTGAGGCTAGTCCACTTAAAATATCAGCCTTTTAAGAATCACTGTGTTAATTCACTTGTGCTTATTTGTTAATGGCAAGAGTAAAATTACTTTAAATGAAATTTCAAAATGGAAATTGTTAAGAGGAAAGGGGTTGAAAAGAGACTACAGATCAAACACATAAATAAGCTTGTTCAAAATAAAATCGGTTTGTGACAAATACAAAAATTAAGGAAGACACTTTCAAAGAAAGAAGAGATAGTGATGAAACATTTTGTATAAACTGGAGTTATAGAGAAGTATTCACTTAATAAAATTTGGGAAGAAAAGTTGCAAATATGGAAATAAGGACTGAGGCAGGCATACAGGGAGAGTGCGTGAGTCACCATGGTATCTCTATGTGACTTTCCTCTTTCATTTCATTTTAGGTGTGAATTTACTTAGAAACAAAGACATGCTCACACAAGAAGATATTTTTATCAAGCATATTGCACCAATTAAGTCAAGAAAATCATCTTTTGACAGTGAAGGTAAAAGTTAGTAGGTACTGGTATGAAATAAACCTAGAATAGTTCTTCTGGCATGCTTTTCAGTTTTACTCCTGGTGAAATATTTTGAATATTCATAAAATATATGAAGACCATCTCAGCTGAAGCACTATACCAAAAACACTTGGACTTGCAGGGTGACAAACAATGCATTGTTTTCTCCTACAGTCCAGGAAGTGGTGGAGTCTAAAACCAACGACCTGGAGGACTCAAAATCTGGTGAGTGCCCCTTCTGTTCTGTAGTCCTCCTGTGGCCCAAGGAACAGGCAGCTCTGCTCCCATTCTTGGGGCTGGCCCTGGGGCCCTGGTCATCTTCTAAGGATCCCACATCCTAGACCACCCCTGTGATGCTTAGGGGGACACAAATGTTGAAGCCACTGAAAAGGAGGATATAAAAATCCAGGAGAACTACCAACCCATTTCTCACTGCCATTAATCTCATCCTCTGCTTTCTTATAAACAGAGTTGATGATGTTCTGTGTATTTCCCAAAACTCTTCAGTGCTTATCTTCTTTACTGTAGGATTCTACACATCCTCTTCTCCCCCTCTACCCATATTGCTCCATGTCAATCATATTTGAGAAAAAAAAAAAGACACACACTAATCTCCAAAGCCAAATGCTTTAACTCCTTATATCTAGCATGCATTTTTCACATCTCAGCACTATTTCTTCAAAATATTTTTTTTGACAGGCAGAGTGGACAGTGAGAGAGAGAGACAGAGAGAAAGGTCTTCCTTTTGCCGTTGGTTCACCCTCCAATGGCCGCCGCGGCCGGCGCACCTTGCTGATCCGATGGCAGGAGCCAGGTACTTCTCCTGGTCTCCCATGCGGGTGCAGGGCCCAAGCACTTGGGCCATCCTCCACTGCCTTCCCTGGCCACAGCAGAGAGCTGGACTGGAAGAGGGGCAACTGGGACAGAATCCGGCGCCCCAACCGGGACTAGAACCCGGTGTGCCGGCGCCGCAAGGCGGAGGATTAGCCTAGTGAGCCGCAGCGCTGGCCTCTTCAAAATATTTTAATTGAGGATGTTACTCACTGGAATAAGAGAGGTCACTTGGGATACTTAGTTTTCTAAACTACCTGTACCTAGAATTACATTCAGCTCACACTGTGAGGATACATCAGAAGAGTGTCATGCAATTAATCTTGGCAAGGACACTCTCATGAAAATAATATTGAGAATACATAAAATTTTGAGATCACAGGGCCATCACTCAAGCATAAGTATTTTAGTGGTTTATAAATGCTCCCCTGCTTTTGCCCTATCTGGAGCCATGATTTCTGAAATAAATTGTACCAACAAAAATTTGTTCTCTTGATGATAGTCATTTACAGCCTCTTCTAAATTCTTAGCTGCAGTATGAGTAAAGAATATGAGGTATATTTTGTATAAATATAAGTCTTCTATAATAGCATTACTTTTATAACAAATACAATTTTTGAAAAGTAAATCTAACCAACAGTGGTTGAACTGGGGCATGGGAGATCCAGTGGTTTATGTACAAAGCTTTGCCCTCTGAAACCATCATTTTAGACACAGACTACAGGCCAAATGCAGAAATTGGCTTAAAGTGTATTGTGTTGGGGCACAGCTCCAGAATAAGGTGCGCACACTGAAGGAGCACTCACACCTTCTGAAGAAAATGCCCAAACCCTTACAGAAATTAGGGTAGTAGCTCACTCGATAAAACACAGAAAGAATATTACGAATGTAGAAATCAAAGCTAACCCATTGAGGCTGAGGAGCAGCTTGAGAATGGCCATAGTACTAATGTGCTTTTCTCTTTAAATTCTTATTTGAGGTACAAGTTTATTTAAATATGATGGTTCCACAGAGTATCGGGACAGTATGTCATCCAGGCGCACTACACCAAGTAAATTCCCCATGAAAGTGATCAACTTATCTCCCTTTGAAACTCATGGTAAGAAATGAGGCATGAAGACAGGAAGCAGCAGCTAATCGTCAGAGTAGTCTTGTGCCTTTTGGTAACTCTGCCTCCTATTTTTGGTTCATTAATATCTCAGAGAAATCCTTCAAGTCTTAAGATGAAATGACTCTGGTTTATCACTTCTATGGGTAACATTACATTTCACAGGAGAGGATATTTATTCAACTGTTATTGCATTAGAGTATTGACTTTCTGAATTTTCTATACTACCAGGTATATCCATGTACATATCCTCTTTCATATTTGTACTTTATTTCTTTGGGGTATTGTCCTAGGATTGGTATTTCTTGTTAAAATATATATGGGTTTTTAATGTTAAAAGGTGCTACCAGATTGCTTTCCTAAAGGGCTATTAAATCAGTTTGTCATTTAATAATGCAGAAGAACATAAATGAAAAATGAGTAACCTGTATTGCAGATGGTTGTGCAGAGAAAAGCATTTTCTCCCCAGGTTGCTGGCAAAAGTGTTAGTTTCAATAGTTCAGACAAACCATTCACTAACACTGTTAGTGTGATGTTACTGCATAGCTCCCCTAAAACGCTGAACAATAAAGCAGGGGCCTCGTTTATAGCTCACAAGCAGGGGCTGTCAGTCTGATGCACTTTGGAGCTTCTGTCAGGGTTTCATTCCCGTGCCCAGCAATTGGGTGGCTATTGTTTGGGATGAGGCAGCAGAAAATTGAGGTTCATTTAAGAAATAGAAACTTGGGGGCCGGCACCATGGCTCACTTGGTTAATCCTCCACCTGCGGCGCCAGCATCCCATATGGGCGCCAGGTTCTAGTCCCAGTTGCTCCTCTTCCAGTCCAGCTCTCTGCTGTGGCCCGGGAAGGCAGTGGAGGATGGCCCAAGTGCTTGGGTCCCTGCACCCACATAGGAGACCGGGAGGAAGCGCCTGGCTCCTGGCTTCGGATCAGCGTAGCGCTGACCGTGGCGGCCATTTGGGGAGTGAACCAATGGAAGGAAGACCTTTCTCTCTGTCTCTCTGTCTCTCACTGTCTGCAACTCTACCTGTCAAATAAATAAAAAAATAAATAAAAGAAACTTGACTAATTTCGAAAAGAGAGCAAGAATATACACCCTAGATAACCAAGCATAATGTGTTAACTAGGTAAATGAAAGTGTACAAAGAATTCTGTTTATGTGGAAGAAGGAGTTTGGAAAGAGCTGCCACGCCTGAAACGAGGAGCCTGGTGGCAGGTCCCTGATTCTGCAGGAGAGGGGGCCCTGCCCATCTGCTGCTCATGTGAGGGGGGTGGCAAAACAGGTCCTGTAAATATAAATAAGAACATAAACTATAGGGTGCCATGGAAGGAATAAAAAAATGTTGCTGGGATGCTGTTCACAGGAACTGAAGAGACAGGAACTTCCCAGAAATCCCAGGGGGCTGACATTTTTATGTGTGTGATTTCGGCCCCCGAACACCAGGCAAGCAGATGTCAGATACGAAATGTTTGTGTTACTTAGGCTGCTCTATCTAAATTGCTGAGAAAACTAAAGAAGCTGTCCTTTAGAAGTGGAAACGATTTAACTTTTTTAAATGTTGAAATTAGATAATTCTTGGTAGAATTTAGTAACATTGTTCTCATTTTTAGGGCGATCTAAAAAGAAAAAATTAAGCCCGAAGATTGTTGGATTTGCACATATTCTGCCTGTTGTGAACTCTGCAGCTAAGAAGCCCAACCCTAAAGGTGAGAGAGTCACTGCAGGTCTGAGATAGGAAACAGAAGTTGTGCTGCACTCCAGGTCTCTCTGTTCACCAGCTTCCTCCAAGCTTTGGCCCCTCCACCAAATAGCAATGTTACAGCCAACCACGTTTCCCAAACCTGCCTTCGTACAGACGTGTATGTGCACAGGCTTTGCATGGTGCTGTGTAAAACCAGGATCATGGGCACCGGCCCTCTTTACTGAGCTAAATTGATACACATGTCTTTTACTTCTCACACAAACTTGCTGTATGAAATTTCTAAAATGTAAGCACATTATAATTGTACAATAATTCCTCCATAAAAGACAACTACATCTTCTGTCATTGTTTTTCACAGCAACCACTCTTGCAAGCAGTATCACTGTGCATGGATATTGATGTGTGGTGGTATAAGTGCGACTGTTGTAATGGGGTAACGGGGCTTTTGATTGTTATAGGTATTGCCAAGTGCTTTCCAAAATTACCATAGTTAATATTTCTGCTTAGAAAGGCATGAAGAGCCTGTTTCCCAGCGTCCTACCCACACCAGACCTCTCATAGTTTGGAAATATTCACAGTACTGAGTCATATTGATACGATGTCAATACTATGCAAAGTGTTTGAAAGAGTCAGTAGAATCCCCATCAAAATTCCAAAGACTATGTTTTTTCAGAAAAGGAAAAGTCTGCCCTAAAATTCATTTGGAATCTAAAGGGACAGCAGTAGTCAAAATACTCTTGAAAAAGAACAAAGTTACGAGAGTCACATTTCACAATTTCAAAAAAAGCCACAGTAATTAATAGAATGCAGCGCTTTCATAGACACATAGGCCAGTTAGATGAGACAGAGATCTCAGAAGCAAACCCGCCATGTGTGGTCCAATGATTTTGACACTGATGGCCAGACCACCCAGGACGAAAGAATGGGTTCCACCAGGTATGATGCCAGGAAGGCTGGGCAGCGGCAGCAAAAGAGCAAGGCTGTGCCTTTACCTTATACCATATGCAAAGATTAGCTAAAAGTGGATCAAGGAGCTAAAATTAAGAACTAAAATATAAAAATCTTAGAAGAGAGGCAGGCACTTGGCAGTGGTTAAGACACCACTTGGGGTCTCTATATCCCACATCAGAGTGTATCATTCAGGTACAGGCTGCTCTGCTTCAGATCCAGCATCCTGCTCATGCACACCCTGGCAGGCAGCAGTGATGGTCCAAGTACTTGGGTCCCTGCCACCCACATAGGAGACCTGGATTAAGTTCCAGCCTCTTGGCTTTAGCCTGGCCCAACCCTGGATGTTGTAGGCATTTAGGGAGTGAATCAGTAGATGGGAAATCAATATATAACTCTCTCTCTCTCTCTCTCTCTCTCACACACACACACACACACACACACACACAAACTTTCAAGTAAAGTAAAAATAAATAATTGTTAAAGTCTTAGTGGAAAATCTTCATGACATTGGACTTGGCATTGATTTGGATATGACACCAAAGGCATAGTCAAAAAAGAAAAATATAGAAAACATAGATTTCCTCAAAAATTAAAAATAATTTATGCACCAAAGGAAAATATCAACAGACTAAACAGCAATACACAGAATTAGAGAAAAATATTTTCAAATAATATGTCTCATAAGAGATTAAGAGAAATACTAGTAGAGGTATCCTAAAACTCAACAGCAAAAAACTCAATTAAAAAGCAGGCAAAGGACTTTTTTTTTTTGACAGGCAGAGTTAGACAGACAGAGACAGAAAGGTCTTTCTTCCATTGGTTCACCCCCCAAATGGCCTCTATTGCCGGCGCACTGCGCCGATCCGAAGCCAGGAGCCAGGTGCTTCCTCCTGGTCTCCCATGCGAGTGCAGGGGCCAAGGACTTGGGCCATCCTCCACTGCACTCCTGGGCCACAGCAGAGAGCTGGACTGGAAGAGGGGCAACCGGGACAGAATCTGGTGCCCCAACTGAGACTAGAACCCGGTGTGCCAGTGCCTCAGGCAGAGGATTAGCCTAGTGAGCCTCAGCACCAGCCTAACAGGCAAAGGACTTTAAAAGACACTCCTCCTAAAAAGATAGTTTAAAAACACTCAGCATTAGATTGATTGATATTATTATGGAAATGCACATCAAAACCATAATGAGATCTGATTTCTTACCCATTACGGGACCTGTTATCAAAAAGAAGGAATGATGGTGGGGGAGAGAGAAGAAGGAAGAAAAAGGAGAAAGGACAAGTGTTGGTGAGGGCATGGAGTAACTGGAATCTTCACACACTGGAGACTGGGAGACTCCTATTTAAGGAGCACAAAGCTTTGGTTCTGTAAGACTAAAAAGCGTTCTGGAGATACATGGTGGTGCTGGTTGCACTACAAGGTGAACAGCCCTACCCACTACACTATACATTTCGAAATGATCAATTATGTTACAAATAACTTACCACAGCTTTCAAAATAAGTCAGTAAAAGTGAATGAACAGAAAAAATTATTCAATGAAAGTCACTTATGTTTCCTGAAAACCAGACATATATTACATTTTTATTGACAATTTCAATTTCTTTTGTCAGTTGTCCATAACCTTTACATATTTTTCTGCAAGTTGCCCTTTGGCATCATAGAAGCTTTTTGGGTAATAAGGTTTTTAAAACCTCATTTTTATATCAATTCAAGTTTACCAAGATATTAAAGGAATTCTAAGAGGAATTCCATGCATCCTTTCTACAGATTCACTAATTGCTGTACCATGTCATTTTGTCTTCTCTGTGTCCACATGTATACAGGGACTTTAAAGATTCACAGAAAATAGAATGAAAAGAGTTTATTTTGGTGCCAGAAATTTTCAAAAATCATGCATAGTTTTTTTTAATTTTATCTTTATTAATAACACTGAACATATTTCATGTCTTTAATAGGTACAGTTCTAAGAAGATAGCCATACTTCACTGCCTCCCTGGTTCTCTCCCTCAATGCTTCTCCTTCCTTCGTTTCTTTTTTTAATTTTTGCAAAAATAATTTCAGTCCACTCTATAATCACAGACTCACTGCACCACTAGCCATAATAGTCAACAAGTGAAAAGTAGAAAGATCACAGTTCTACAACAGTGTAAACAATGGCTGAAAACCATAATCAAGCCACAAGATACTGATTTCATTCCTATACACTTTGTGTTCTATTTAATTACCACATATCAGACAAAACATGGTATTTATCTTTTGGGGACTGACTTCACTAAGTATATTGGTTTCCAGTTTTATCTATTTTGTTACAAAAGACAATATTTCATTCCTTTTTATGGCTGAATAGTACTCCATAGTGTATATATGCCACAATTTCTTTATCCAGTCTTCACTTGATGGTTATCTGGGTTGACTCCATATCTGAGCTATTGTGAATTGAGTTGCAATAAACACAAGGGTATAAATTACTCTTTCATATGCTGATTTCATTTGATTTAGGTAAATTCCCAGGAGAGGGATGACTAGGTCATATGGCAGATCAATATTCAGATTTCAAAGAAATTTTCCATAATGGTTGTACTAGCTTACATTTCCAACAACAGCAGAAGAGGGTAACTTTTTCCCATATCCTCACTGCCACTTAGTATTTTTTTTATTTTTGGATGATAGCCATTCTAATTGGGGTGAGGTGAAACCTCATTGTGGTTTTGATTTGCATTTCCTTGATGGCTAGTGATCCTGAGCAGTTTTCATGTGTCTGTTGGCCATTTGTATTTCACCCTTTGAAAAATGCCTGTTTGTGCCCTTTGCCCATTTTTTAACTGGATTGTTTGTTTTGTTATTGTTGTTGAACTCCTTGAGCTCTTTATAGATTTTGGATATTAATCCCTTATCAGTTACAGAGCTTGCAAATATTTTCTCCCATTCTGTTGGTTGCCTCATTACTTTGTTGAGTGTTTGCTTTGCAGTGTATAAACTTCTTAGCTGGATGTAATCCCATTTGTCTGTTTTTGTCTTTAATGCCTGTGCAATAGAGGGGTCTTTCCAAGAAGTGTTTGCCTATGCCAATGTCTTGCAGAGTTTCCCGATGTTCTTCTTTAGTGATGTGATGTTATCAGGTCTTAGATTCAGATCCTTGATCTATTTGGAATTTATTTTTGTATGAAGTATAAGGTAGGGGTCTTATTTCATACTTCTGCACACATAGATCCAGCTTACCCAATACCATTTGCTGAAGAAGCAATCCTTTCTCCAGGGATTGATTTAGCTCATTTATATGGAGGAGTAGTTGGTTGTAGCTGCATAGATAAATTTCTAGGTTTCTATTTCATTCTGTTGATCTACATGTCTACTTATGTGCAAGCACTAGGTTGCTTTTATTATAATTGCCTTGCAGTATGTCTTTTTTTTTTTTTTTTTTGACAGGCAGAGTGGACAGTGAGAGAGAGAGACAGAGAGGTCTTCCTTTTGCCATTGGTTCACCCTCCAATGGCCGCCGCAGCCGGCGCACTGCGGCTGGTGCATCACACTGATCCGAAGCCAGGAGCCAAGTACTTATCCTGGTCTCCCATGGGGTGCAGGGCCCAAGGACTTGGGCCATCCTCCACTGCACTCCTGGGCCACAGCAGAGAGCTGGCCTGGAAGAGGGGCAACCGGGACAGAATCAGGGACTAGAACCCGGTGTGCCAGTGCCGCAAGGCGGAGGATTAGCCTATTGAGCCACGGTGCTGGCTCTGCAGTATGTCTTTAAATCTGGTATTGTGATGCCTCCAGCTTTGTTTTTGTTATTTAAGATTGCCTTAGCTATTCGGTGTCTCTTACATTTCCATATGAATTTTAGCATTTTTTTCTAGATCTCAGAGGAAGTATTTTGGTTGGGATGACATTAAATGTGTAATTTCTTTGGGTTTTATGGATATTTTAATGATATTGATCCTTCTAACACATTAACATAAAATAGTTGTCCACTTTTTGGGTCTTTTGGGTTTTTTTTTAAGATTTTATTTATTTATTTGAGAGGTAAAATTACAGGCAGTGAGAGGGAGAGACAGAGG